TAGAGACACAGACACAGAGACAGAGACACGCCGGAGTGCATGGACGATGTCGACTCTACAGACACCTAGCAGACAGACAGACACACACACACAGACACACAGACAGAGACACACAGATAGAGACACACACACACAGACACACAGACAGAGACACACCGGAGTGCATGGACGATGTCGACTCTACAGACACCTAGCAGACAGACAGACACACAGATAGAGACACAGATAGAGACACAGACACACAGACAGAGACACGCCGGAGTGCATGGACGATGTCGACTCTACAGACACCTAGAAGACAGACAGACACACAGATAGACACACAGTTAGACACACACACACACACAGACACACAGACAGAGACACGCCGGAGTGCATGGACGATGTCGACTCTACAGACACCTAGCAGACAGACAGACACACACAGATAGAGACACAGATAGAGACACAGACACACAGACAGAGACACGCCGGAGTGCATGGACGATGTCGACTCTACAGACACCTAGCAGACAGACAGACACACAGATAGACACATAGTTAGACACACACACAGAGAGAGACACGCCGGAGTGCATGGACGATGTCGACTCTACAGACACCTAGCAGACAGACAGACACACAGATAGACACACAGTTAGACACAGTTAGAGACACACACAGACACACACACAGTTAGAGACACAGACACACAGACAGAGACACGCCGGAGTGCATGGACGATGTCGACTCTACAGACACCTAGCAGACACACACAGAGACACACAGATAGACACACACACAGACACAGACAGAGACACAGTTAGACACACACACAGACACACAGACAGAGACACGCCGGAGTGCATGGACGATGTCGACTCTACAGACACCTAGCAGACAGACAGACACACAGATAGACACACAGTTAGACACACACACAGACACAGACACACAGAGACACGCCGGAGTGCATGGACGATGTCGACTCTACAGACACCTAGCAGACAGACAGAGACACACAGATAGACACACAGTTAGACACACACAGACACACAGAGAGAGACACGCCGGAGTGCATGGACGATGTCGACTCTACAGACACCTAGCAGACAGACAGACACACAGATAGACACACAGTTAGACACACACACAGAGAGACACGCCGGAGTGCATGGACGATCTCGACTCTACAGACACCTAGCAGACAGACAGACACACAGATAGACACACAGTTAGACACACACACAGACACACACACAGACACACAGAGACACGCCGGAGTGCATGGACGATGTCGACTCTACAGACACCTAGCAGACAGACAGACACACACACACAGACACACAGACAGAGACACACAGATAGAGACACACACACACAGACACACAGACAGAGACACGCCGGAGTGCATGGACGATGTCGACTCTACAGACACCTAGCAGACAGACAGACACACAGATAGACACAGAGTTAGACACACACACAGACACACAGACAGAGACACACACACGCCGGAGTGCATGGACGATGTCGACTCTACAGACACCTAGCAGACACACAGACACACAGATAGACACACAGATAGAGACACAGTTAGAGACACACACACACACACAGACACACAGATAGACACACAGTTAGACACACACACAGACACACACACAGACACACAGATAGACACACACACAGACACACAGATACACAGACAGAGACACGCCGGAGTGCATGGACGATGTCGACTCTACAGACACCTAGCAGACAGACAGACACAGACACACAGTTAGAGACACACACACAGACACACAGATAGACACACAGTTAGACACACACACACAGACACACAGACAGAGACACACACAGAGACACACAGACACACAGTTAGACACACACACAGACACACAGACAGAGACACACACAGAGACACACAGACACACAGTTAGACACACACACAGACAAACAGACAGAGACACGCCGGAGTGCATGGACGATGTCGACTCTACAGACACCTAGCAGACACACACACAGACACACACACAGACACACAGACACACAGTTAGACACACAGACACACAGACAGAGACACGCCGGAGTGCATGGACGATGTCGACTCTACAGACACCTAGCAGACAGACAGACACACAGATAGACACACAGTTAGACACACACAGAGAGAGACACGCCGGTGTGCATGGACGATGTCGACTCTACAGACACCTAGAAGACACAGAGACACACAGACACACAGTTAGACACACACAGACACACACACAGTCACACAGACACACAGATAGACACACAGTTAGACACAGTTAGAGACACACACAGACACACACACACACAGTTAGAGACACACACAGGCACACAGACAGAGACACGCCGGAGTGCATGGACGATGTCGACTCTACAGACACCTAGAAGACACAGACACACAGACAGACAGTTAGACACACACAGACACACACACAGACACACAGACAGAGACACACACAGACACACACACAGACACACACACACACAGACACACTAACAGAGACACGCCGGAGTGCATGGACGATGTCGACTCTACAGACACCTAGCAGACAGACAGAGACACACAGATAGACACACAGTTAGACACACACACAGACACACACACAGACACACACACGCCGGAGTGCATGGACGATGTCGACTCTACAGACACCTAGCAGACAGACAGACACACAGATAGACACACAGTTAGACACACACAGACACACAGACAGAGACACGCCGGAGTGCATGGACGATGTCGACTCTACAGACACCTAGCAGACAGACAAACACACAGATAGACACACAGTTAGACACACACACAGACACACACACAGACACACAGATAGACACACAGTTAGAGACACACACAGACACACACACAGAGACACGCCGGAGTGCATGGACGATGTCGACTCTACAGACACCTAGCAGACAGACAGACACACAGATAGACACACAGTTAGACACACACACAGACACACACACAGACACACAGATAGACACACAGTTAGAGACACACACAGACACACACACAGAGACACGCCGGAGTGCATGGACGATGTCGACTCTACAGACACCTAGCAGACACACAGACACAGACACACAGATAGAGACACAGATAGAGACACAGACACACGGACACAGACACACAGTTAGACACACACACAGACACACAGACAGAGACACACCGGAGTGCATGGACGATGTCGACTCTACAGACACCTAGCAGACAGACAGAGACACACAGATAGACACACAGACACACAGTTAGAGACACACACAGACACACACACACACAGACACACAGCTAGACACACACACAGACACACAGAGACACGCCAGAGTGCATGGACGATGTCGACTCTACAGACACCTAGCAGACACAGAGACACACAGACATAGACACACAGATAGAGACACAGACACACAGATAGAGACACGCCGGAGTGCATGGACGATATCGACTCTACAGACACCTAGCAGACACACAGACACAGACACACAGATAGAGACACAGATAGAGACACAGACACACGGACACAGACACACAGTTAGACACACACACAGACACACACACACACAGACACACAGCTAGACACACACACAGACACACAGAGACACGCCGGAGTGCATGGACGATGTCGACTCTACAGACACCTAGCAGACAGACACACAGAGACACACAGATAGACACACAGTTAGACACACACACAGACACAGACACACAGATAGAGACACAGATAGAGACACAGACACACGGACACAGACACACAGTTAGACACACACACAGACACACACACACACAGACACACAGCTAGACACACACTCAGACACACAGAGACACGCCGGAGTGCATGGACGATGTCGACTCTACAGACACCTAGCAGACAGACACACAGAGACACACAGATAGACACACAGTTAGACACACACACAGACACACAGACACACAGTTAGAGACACGCCGGAGTGCATGGACGATGTCGACTCTACAGACACCTAGCAGACACACACACAGACACACAGATAGACACACAGTTAGAGACACACACAGACACACAGACAGAGACACGCCGGAGTGCATGGACGATGTCGACTCTACAGACACCTAGCAGACACACAGACACAGACACACAGATAGAGACACAGATAGAGACACAGACACACGGACACAGACACACAGTTAGACACACACACAGACACACACACACACAGACACACAGCTAGACACACACACAGACACACAGAGACACGCCGGAGTGCATGGACGATGTCGACTCTACAGACACCTAGCAGACAGACACACAGAGCCACACAGATAGACACACAGTTAGACACACACACAGACACACAGACACACAGTTAGAGACACGCCGGAGTGCATGGACGATGTCGACTCTACAGACACCTGGCAGACACACACAGAGACACACACAGACACACAGTTAGACACACACACAGACACACAGACAGAGACACGCCGGAGTGCATGGACGATGTTGACTCTACAGACACCTAGCAGACACAGAGACACACAGACACACAGTTAGACACACACACAGACACACACACAGACACACACAGACACACACAGACACACAGTTAGACACACACACAGACACACAGACAGAGACACGCCGGAGTGCATGGACGATGTCGACTCTACAGACACCTAGAAGACACAGAGACACACAGACACACAGTTAGACACACACACAGACAGACACACAGACAGAGACACGCCGGAGTGCATGGACGATGTCGACTCTACAGACACATAGCAGACAGACACACAGATAGACACACAGTTAGACACAATTAGAGACACACACAGAGACACACAGACACACAGTTAGACACACACACAGACACACAGACAGAGACACGCCGGAGTGCATGGACGATGTCGACTCTACAGACACCTAGCAGACAGACAGACACACAGATAGACACACAGTTAGACACACACACAGACACACAGACAGAGACACACAGATAGAGACACACACACAGACACACAGACAGAGACACGCCGGAGTGCATGGACGATGTCGACTCTACAGACACCTAGCAGACAGACAGAGACACACAGATAGACACACAGAGACACAGATAGAGACACACACAGACACAGACAGAGACACGCCGGAGTGCATGGACGATGTCGACTCTACAGACACACAGACACACAGTTAGACACGCACACAGACACAGACAGAGACACGCTGGAGTGCATGGACGATGTCGACTCTACAGACACCTAGAAGAGACAGAGACACACAGATAGACACACAGACACACAGTTAGACACACACACAGAGAGAGACACGCCTGAGTGCATGGACGATGTCGACTCTACAGACACCTGGCAGACACAGAGACACACAGATAGACACACAGTTAGACACACACACAGAGAGAGACACAGACAGAGACACGCCGGAGTGCATGGACGATGTCGACTCTACAGACACCTGGCAGACACAGAGACACACAGATAGACACACAGTTAGACACACACACACAGAGAGACACAGACAGAGACACGCCGGAGTGCATGGACGATGTCGACTCTACAGACACCTAGCAGACACACACACACAGACACACAGTTAGAGACACAGTTAGACACACACACAGACACACAGACACACACACAGACACACACACAGACACAGACACACAGACACACACAGACACACAGACACACACACAGACACACACAGAGACACACAGACAGAGACACGCCGGAGTGCATGGACGATGTCGACTCTACAGACACCTTGAAGACACACACACAGACACACACACAGACAGACACACAGACACAGTTAGAGACACACACAGACACACACACAGACACACAGATAGAGACACAGACACACAGACAGAGACACGCCGGAGTGCATGGACGATGTCGACTCTTCAGACACCTAGCAGACACAGAGACACACAGACACACAGTTAGAGACACACACAGACACACACACAGACACACAGACACACAGTTAGACACACACAGATACAGACAGAGACACGCCAGAGTGCATGGACGATGTCGACTCTACAGACACCTAGCAGACACACAGGCACACAGTTAGACACAGACACACAGACACAGACAGAGACACAGTTAGAGACACAGACACACAGACAGAGACACAGACAGAGACACGCCGGAGTGCATGGACGATGTCGACTCTACAGACACCTAGCAGACAGACACACACACACAGACACACACAGACACACACACAGCCACACACACAGACACACAGACACACACACACACACTGATACACACACAGACACACACAGACACACACAGACACACACACACAGACACACACACAGTCACACACACAGACACACACACAGACACACAGACACACACACTGATACACACACAGACACACACCACACACAGACACACACAGACACACACACACAGACAGACACACACACACAGGACAGACACACACAGACAGACACACACACAGACACACAGACACACACTGACACACACACACAGCCACACACACACACACAGACACACACACACAGACACACAGACACACACACAGACACACACACACACACAGACACACAGACACACACAGACACACACAGACACAGACACACAGACACACACACAGCCACACACACACACACAGCCACAGCCACACACACACACACAGCCACACACACACACACACAGCCACACACACACACACACACAAGCCACACACACACACACACAGACACACACACACAGCCACACACACACACACACAGCCACACACACACACAAACACATACACACAGACACACACACACAGACACACACACAGCCACACACACACACACACAGCCACACACACAGACACACACACACACACAGCCACACACACACAGCCACACACACACACAGCCACACACACAGACACACAGCCACACACACACAGACACAGCCACACACACACACACAGACACACAGACACAGCCACACACACACACACAGACACACACACACACACACAGCCACACACACAGCCACACACACACAGACACACACACACAGCCACACACACAGCCACACACACACACACAGACACACACAGCCACACACAGCCACACACAGCCACACACAGACACACACACACACACACAGACACACAGACACACACAGACAGACACACACACACAGACACACACACACAGCCACACACACAGCCACACACACACACACAGCCACACACACACACAGCCACACACACAGCCACACACACACACACACAGCCACACAGCCACACACACAGCCACACACACACACACACAGCCACACACACACAGACACACACACACACACTAACACACAGCCACACACACAGCCACAGCCACACACACACACAGCCACACACACACACACACAGCCACACACACACACACACAGCCACACACACACACACAGACACACACACACAGCCACACACACACACACACAGCCACACACACACACAAACACATTACACACAGACACACACACACAGACACACACACAGCCACACACACACACACACAGCCACACACACAGACCACACACACACACACAGCCACACACACACACAGCCACACACACACACAGCCACACACACACACAGCCCACACACACACACAGCCACACACACACACAGCCACACACACACACACACAGCCACACACACACACACACAGCCACACACAGACACACACTGACACACACACACAGCCACACACACAGACACACACACACAGACACACACACACAGCCACACACACAGCCACACACACAGCCACACACACACACACAGACACACACACAGCCACACACACAGCCACACACACACACACAGCCACACACACACACACACACAGACACACACACACACACAGCCACACACAGACACACACACAAACACACACACACACAGACACACACACACAGCCACACACACAGACACACACACACACACAGCCACCACACACACACACACAGCCACACACACACACACAGCCACACACACACACACACAGCCACACACACAGCCACACACACACACAGCCACACACACACACAGACACACACACACACAGACACACACAGACACAGCCACACACACACACAAACCTGACGCTTCAGAGGGATGCCTTGCTCAGCTTGCAAAGCCGCGGCTCCTTGAACTTCTTGGCCCCGCCCCCTCCGCCCAGGGCCCCGCCCCCTCCGCCCAGGGCTCCGCCCCTGGGCCAAGGGAAGCTCCTCCGGGCCCGCCGGCCCGGCACATGGCCACGACCATAACCATGAGGACGAGGAGGAGGCCACCGACGCAGTAGATGGCTACCTCGGCCGAGTCCGGCAGCGGCGGCAGGAGAGCCACGCCGATGCCGCCGGCGGCGCCGCCGGCGGAGCCGCCGGCGGAGCCGCCGGCAGAGCCGCCGGCAGAGCCGCCGGCGCCGCCCAGCTGGTTGTTGGTCATGTCGAGAGCTGGGTGGTGGTGGTGGTGGTGGTTTGGGGTGTGTGGTGGTGTGGTGTGGTGGTGGTGGTGGTGGTGTGTGTGGTGGTGTGTGGTGGTGGTGGTGTGGTGGTGGTGGTGGTGGTGTGGTGGTGTGGGGTGGGGTGGTGAGTGAGGTGCGTGAGTGGTTGAATGGGTGGGTGAGTGGTAGGTGTGTGAGTGAGTGGGTGGGTGAGTGGGTGGGTGTGTGAGTGAGTGAGTGGGTGGGTGAGTGGGTGAGTGAGTGGGTGGGTGGGTGTGTGAGTGGGTGGGTGGGTGGGTGGATGAGTGGTTGAATGGGTGGGTGAGTGGGTAGGTGAGTGAGTGGTTGAATGGGTGGGTGGTTGAGTGAGTGTTGAATGGGTGGGTGAGTGGGTGGGTGGGTGAGTGGGTGGGTGAGTGGGTGGGTGGTTGGGTGGGTGGGTGGGTGAGTGGTTGAATGGGTGGGTGGGTGAGTGGGTGGGTGAGTGAGTGGTTGAATGGGTGGGTGGTTGAGTGAGTGGTTGAATGGGTGGGTGAGTGGGTGGGTGGGTGAGTGGGTGGGTGAGTGGGTGGGTGGTTGGGTGGGTGGGTGGTTGTGGTAGTTCAGCAATATGAGGGAGAGGGAGAAACACATCGATTAACACAACCACTAACCACAACCACCACAACCACCACAATCACCACAACACTGTGTGTACATCACTGTGTGTACATCATCACTGTGTGTACATCATCACTGTGTGTACATCATCACTGTGTGTACATCATCGCTGTGTGTACATCATCGCTGTGTGTACATCACTGTGTGTACATCATCACTGTGTGTACATCATCATCGCTGTGTGTACATCATCGCTGTGTGTACATCACCGCTGTGTATACATCATCACTGTGTACATCATCATCACTGTGTGTACATCATCACTGTGTGTACATCATCACCACTGTGTGTACATCATCATCACTGTGTGTACATCATCGCTGTGTGTACATCACCGCTGTGTATACATCACTGTGTGTACATCATCACTGTGTGTACATCATCACTGTGTTACATCACCGCTGTGTATACATCATCACTGTGTGTACATCATCACTGTTGTGTACATCATCACTGTGTACATCATCGCTGTGTGTACATCATCGCTGTGTGTACATCATCACTGTGTGTACATCACTGTGTGTACATCACTGTGTGTACATCACCACTGTGTACATCACCACTGTGTGTACATCATCATCACTGTGTGTACATCATCACTGTGTGTACATCACTGTGTGTACATCACTGTGTGTACATCACTGTGTGTACATCATCACTGTGTGTACATCATCATCACTGTGTGTACATCATCACTGTGTGTACATCACTCTGTGTGTACATCATCGCTGTGTGTACATCATCATCACTGTGTGTACATCACTCTGTGTGTACATCATCGCTGTGTGTACATCATCATCGCTGTGTGTACATCATCGCTGTGTGTACATCATCACTGTGTGTACATCATCACTGTGTGTACAACACTGTGTGTACATCATCACTGTGTGTACATCACTGTGTGTACATCACTGTGTGTACATCACCACTGTGTGTACATCACTCTGTGTACATCACTGTGTGTACATCACTGTGTGTACATCACTGTGTGTACATCATCACTGTGTGTACATCATCACTGTGTGTACATCATCGCTGTGTGTACATCCTCACTGTGTGTACATCATCGCTGTGTGTACATCATCGCTGTGTGTACATCACCGCTGTGTATACATCATCACTGTGTATACATCATCACTGTGTGTACATCATCACTGTGTGTACATCATCACTGTGTGTACATCATCATTACTGTGTGTACATCATCATCACTGTGTGTACATCATCACTGTGTGTACATCATCACTGTGTACATCACTGTGTACATCATCACTGTGTGTACATCATCACTGTGTGTACATCATCGCTGTGTGTACATCATCACTGTGTGTACATCATCACTGTGTGTACATCATCATTACTGTGTGTACATCATCATCACTGTGTGTACATCATCGCTGTGTGTACATCATCACTGTGTGTACATCATCACTGTGTACATCACTGTGTACATAATCACTGTGTGTACATCATCACTGTGTGTACATCATCACTGTGTGTACATCATCACTGTGTGTACATCATCATTACTGTGTGTACATCATCATCACTGTGTGTACATCATCACTGTGTGTACATCATCGCTGTGTGTACATCATCGCTGTGTGTACATCACCACTGTGTGCACATCATCATCACTGTGTGTACATCATCGCTGTGTGTACATCATCGCTGTGTGTACATCACCGCTGTGTATACATAGTGACTAGTTAGATAGAGGGAGGGAGGCAGTAGGTATATAGATAGATGTAGTTGGTAGGTAGGTAGGGGTAGGTAGGTAGGGGTAGGTAGGTAGGGGTAGGTCCTGGAGGTATGTTGACGTCTACCTGGCACGACCAGCAGCCACGCGGAGTGATGGGAGATGCCGATGGAGTTGCCGGCCAGGCACGTGTACTCTCCTCCGTCGGCAAGCATCACGTTGCGGAGAGAGAGAGCCGTAGGTAGGTAGGGGTAGGTAGTTAGGGGTAGGCAGGTAGGGGTAGGTAGGGGAGGTATGTTGAGGTCTACCTGGCACGACCAGCAGCCACGCGGAGTGATGGGAGATGCCGATGGAGTTGCCGGCCAGGCACGTGTACTCTCCTCCGTCGGCAAGCATCACGTTGCGGAGAGAGAGAGCCGTAGGTAGGTAGGGGTAGGTAGGGGTAGGTAGGTAGGTAGGGTTAGGTAGGGGTAGGTAGGTAGGGGTAGGTAGGGGAGGTATGTTGAGGTCTACCTGGCATGACCAGCAGCCACGCGGAGTGATGGGAGATGCCGATGGAGTTGCCGGCCAGGCACGTGTACTCTCCTCCGTCGACAAGCGTCACATTGCGGAGAGAGAGAGCCGTAGGTAGGTAGGGGTAGGTAGGTAGGGGTAGGTAGGTAGGGGTAGGTAGGGGTAGGTAGGTAGTGGTAGGTAGGTAGGGGTAGGTCCTGGAGGTATGTTGACGTCTACCTGGCACGACCAGCAGCCACGCGGAGTGATGGGAGATGCCGATGGAGTTGCCGGCCAGGCACGTGTACTCTCCTCCGTTGGCAAGCATCACGTTGCGGAGAGAGAGAGCCGTAGGTAGGTAGGGGTAGGTAGGTAGGGGTAGGTAGGTAGGGGTAGGTAGGGGAGGTATGTTGAGGTCTACCTGGCATGACCAGCAGCCACGCGGAGTGATGGGAGATGCCGATGGAGTTGCCGGCCAGGCACGTGTACTCTCCTCCGTCGGCAAGCATCACATTGCGGAGAGAGAGAGCCGTAGGTAGGTAGGGGTAGGTAGGTAGGTAGGGGTAGGTAGGGGAGGTATGTTGATGTCTACCTGGCATGACCAGCAGCCACGCGGAGTGATGGGAGATGCCGATGGAGTTGCCGGCCAGCCACGTGTACTCTCCTCCGTCGGCAAGCGTCACGTTGCGGAGAGAGAGAGCCGTAGGTAGGTAGGGGTAGGTAGGTAGGGGTAGGTAGGTAGGTAGGGGTAGGTAGGGGAGGTATGTTGAGGTCTACCTGGCATGACCAGCAGCCACGCGGAGTGATGGGAGATGCCGATGGAGTTGCCGGCCAGGCACGTGTACTCTCCTCCGTCGGAAAGCATCACGTTGCGGAGAGAGAGCCGTAGGTAGGTAGGGGTAGGTAGGTAGGGGTAGGTAGGTAGGTAGGGGTAGGTAGGGGAGGTATGTTGAGGTCTACCTGGCATGACCAGCAGCCACGCGGAGTGATGGGAGATGCCGATGGAGTTGCCGGCCAGGCACGTGTACTCTCCTCCGTCGGCAACTGTCACATTGCGGAGGTACAGAACCTCAATCTCCTTGTCCGTCGTATTGACGCCGGCCGTCTGAGGGTCAGCCACGGCCATGGGGGTGGGTGGCGTGGGTGGCGTGGGTGGGGTGGGTGGGGTGGGTGGCGTGGAGGAGAGGGAGGAAGGAGGCAGGGGGGTGTAGGGAGAGGCGAGGGGAGATAGAAACCACCACCATTATCATGATGATAATCAGCACTGCCATCATCATGATCATAGCCACCACCAGCACCACCACCATCATCATTACCATTAGCATGATGATAATCGGCACTGCCATCATCATGATCATAGCCACCACCATCATCATTACCATTAGCATGATGATAATCGGCACTGCCATCATCATGATCATAGCCACCACCACCACCATCATTACCATTAGCATGATGATAATCAGCACTGCCATCATCATGATCATAACCACCACCACCATCATCATTACCATTAGCATGATGAGAATCAGCACCGACATTACCACCACCAACATAAACACCACCGCCATCATCATTACCATAACCATGATGAGAATCAACACCGCCATCATCATGATCATAACCATGATGAGAGACACCCAGACCCAGGGCTTGAACCCTGACCACAGGGTCTCAGTGTCTCTGACACGGCCATCGTGAACCCCCTGAGAGAGAGACACACCCAGACCCAGGGCTTGAACCCTGACCCCAGGGTCTCAGTGTCTCTGACACGGCCATCGTGAACCCCCTGAGAGAGAGAGACACCCAGACCCAGGGCTTGAACCCTGAACCCAGGGTTTCAGTGTCTCTGACACGGCCATCGTGAACCCCCTGAGAGACACCCAGACCCAGGGCTTGAACCCTGACCCCAGGGTCTCAGTGTCTCTGACACAGCCATCGTGAACCCCCTGAGAGAGAGACACCCAGACCCAGGGCTTGAACCCTGACCCCAGGGTCTCAGTGTCTCTGACACGGCCATCGTGAACCCCCTGAGAGAGACACCCAGACCCAGGCTTGAACCCGGGGGGAGACGCAGGGGAGACGCGTGGAGATGCAGGGAGACGCAGGGAGACACGGGGAGCCATGGGGGAGACGCGGGGGAGACACCGGGAGACACGGGGAGACACCGGGAGACACGGGGAGACACCGGGAGACAGGGTGAGACACGGGGAGACACCGGAAGACACCGGAAGACGTGGCTGAGACACCGGGAGACACCGGGAGACACGGGGAGACACCAGGAGACACCGGGAGACACCAGGAGACGTGGCTGAGACACCGGGAGACGTCGGTTAGACACGGGGAGACACGGGGGGAGACACGGAGACACCCAACGGAGACAACCCAGAGAGAGACGCCTTCAACACGCATGGAAAAATCTGTCCCTGCAATACGAAGAGAGGGGAGCGGAGGAGGTGACGGAGGCTGGCAGCGAGGGGGACGGATGGAAATTTCCACATTACCGTGGCAAGGATCGGTGTGATGGGTCTGTGGGTCTCTGTGTGGTGGTGAGTCTGTGGGTCTCTGTGTGGTGAGTTTGTGGGTCTCTGTGTTGTGAGTCTGTGGGTCTCTGTGTGGTGAGTCTGTGGGTCTCTGTGTGGTGAGTCTATGGGTCTCTGTGTGGCGAGTCTATGGGTCTCTGTGTGGTGAGTCTGTGGGTCTCTGTGTGGTGAGTCTGTGGGTCTCTGTGTGGTGAGTCTATGGGTCTCTGTGTAGCGAGTCTATGGGTCTCTGTGTGGTGAGTCTGTGGGTCTCTGTGTGGTGAGTCTATGGGTCTCTGTGTGGCGAGTCTATGGGTCTCTGTGTGGTGAGTCTATGGGTCTCTGTGTGGTGAGTCTATAGGTCTCTGTGTGATGAGTCAATGGGTCTCTGTGTGGTAAGTCTATGGGTCTCTGTGTGGTGAGTCTATCGGTCTCTGTGTGGCGAGTCTGTGGGTCTCTGTGTGGTGAGTCTGTGGGTCTCTGTGTGGCGAGTCTATGGGTCTCTGTGTGATGAGTCTATGGGTCTCTGTGTGATGAGTCTATGGGTCTCTGTGTGATGAGTCTGTGGGTCTCTGTGTGGTGAGTCTATGGGTCTCTGTGTGGTGAGTCTGTGGGTCTCTGTGTGGTGAGTCTGTGGGTCTCTGTGTGGTGAGTCTATGGCTCTCTGTGTGATGAGTCTGTGGGTGTCTGTGTGGCGAGTCTGTGCGTCTGTGTGTGGTGAGTCTATGGGTCTCTGTGTGGTGAGTCTGTGGGTCTCTGTGTGGGTGAGTCTATGGGTCTCTGTGTGGTGAGTCTGTGGGTCTCTGTGTGGTGAGTCTGTGGGTCTCTGTGTGGTGAGTCTATGGCTCTCTGTGTGATGAGTCTGTGGGTGTCTGTGTGGCGAGTCTGGGCGTCTGTGTGTGGGTGAGTCTATGGGTCTCTGGTGGTGCGTCTGTGGGTCTCTGTGTGAGTCTGAGTCTCTGTGTGGTGAGTCTATGGCTCTCTGTGTGGTGAGTCTGTGGGTCTCTGTGTGATGAGTCTGTGGGTCTCTGTGTGGTAAGTCTATGGGTCTCTGTGTGGTGAGTCTATGGGTCTCTGTGTGGTGAGTCTATGGGTCTCTGTGTGATGAGTCTATGGGTCTCTATGTGTCTATGGGTCTCTGTGTGGTGAGTCTGTGGGTCTCTGTGTGGTGAGTCTATGGGTCTCTGTGTGGTGAGTCTATGGGTCTCTATGTGTCTATGGGTCTCTATGTGTGAGTCTATGGGTCTCTGTGTGGCGAGTCTAAGGCCCTCCATGTGCCCGTTGCGCGAAGCTTCCGGAGCCCGCGTACCGAAAACGTCGGACATCCACCCACACACACACGCAGAGATAGAGAGACAGAGCGCCATCGTTCCACTTCCTCTTTGGGGCAGGAACTAGGTGAGAGGTGGGGGGGGCAGCAGGACAATTGCATTGTGGGTAATTTTTCCATGCCTAACCTCCCCAAGCGAGGCTGTCTGAACCAGATGGGAGGGGCTGGCGGGGGGGGGGTTAGGGGAGGGGTGGGGGGGATGGGGGTGGGGGGTGGGGGGGATGGGGGTGGGGGGGATGGGGGTGGGGGGTTATTTTCCCCCCAGGTTCACAATGGCCAAGCCACAGCAGGCAGATTCATTGGCTGGCCTGGCCTCTCAACGCAAATTGTGGAAGGAGGGCTTGCGTGAACCAGGGGTGAAAGTGGAGGCGATTGGAGGGTTGGGTTGGTGGGGGGGGGGGATGGTGGGGGGGGGATGGGTGGGTGGGTGGATTGGAGGGTGGGGTTGGTGGGGGGGGTGTGGGGGGGTTGAATGGGTGGGTTGGTGGGTGGAGTGGGAGGTGGGGGTGGGTGGGTGAGTGGGTGGGTGGGGGTGATGGGTGACGGTGGATGAGTGGGTAGGGGAGATTTGTGTGGGTGGGCGTGGGTGGGCGGATGTGTGGGAGGGTGGAGGGGCGTAGAGAGTTGGGGGGGTGGGTGGATATGGAGGGTGGGTTGGTGGGGGGGGGATGGGGGGGTGTGTGAATGGGTGGGTTGGTGGGTGGGAGTGATGGGTGAGGGTGGGATGATGGGTTAGGGGAGATTGTGTGGGTGGCGGGGATTGGTGGGTGGGCGGATGGGTGGGTGGGGGCGGGGGGGGGGTGGTGGAGGGGGGTGTGAGCGGAGGGGGGGTGTGGTGGGGGGTGGGTAGGGGTGGATTGTGGTGGCGTTGGAATGAGCTGGTGGGTGACTTGTCTGAAGCGGGTGGTGGTGGTGGTGATAGGTGGTGGTGGTGGGGAGAGGGGCAATGGTGGGTGGGTGGTGGGTGGGTGGGGGGAGGGTGGATTCTGTGGGTGGGTGGGCGAGATGGGGGTGGGGGTCAGTGGGGCTGTACGGTACAAGTGGGTGGGGTGAAGGGGGTAGGCTGTAGGGTAGTAGTGGGGCGGTAGTAGTGGGGAGTGTTACCTGCACCCAGGCCCACAACGCTGAGCCACGCGGACTGATTGGCCTCCCCTATGTAATTGGACACCCTACAGGCGTACTGCCCTGCATCAGCCCGGGTCACGTTCGCCAGTCTCAGCACCATCGCCTCGGAGATGTTAATCCCCGAGCGCTGCAAAACGCGTTGGGTACGGCGGTCGGAGGGGTGGTGGTGGTGGTGGGGGGGGTTGGTGGGGGGAGGGTTGGTGGGGGAGGGGAGGGTTGTGGAGGCGTGAGTGGCGTTGGTACGTGTACGTGTACACCACACACGCGCGCGTACACACGAGTGTCTGTGTGTATATGTGGTGTGTTGTGCGTGTCCGGCAACACAACCCCTACCTCGTAGCTGTTAGCGCTACGCTGCGCTATGAACCTGGCGACCCGGGTTCGATTCCCGCTCACGGCCAACACCAGTGACGATTATCTGACCGGTCCCGGGCCTCCCTAGGTCGACTCAGCCTCAAATGAGTACCTGGTGCGGTGTGTAAACATTGCCACTAGGGTGACAAAGGCGGTCGGGCGTGGTGCTGGCCACCCACCCCCTCGTGTACCGTTCCGGCTTCATAGGTGCTCGCTAACAGCACTTGCCCCTACAGTCTGTTAAGGCTATACGGGGGATCTTTGTGTGCGTGTCCCGGCAACACAACCCCCTACCTCCTCGCGGTGCCGGACGGGCAACTCTGTCGTGGGCAGTTGCTGTGGGGGGAGAGGGCCAATTCCGATTGGCTCCTCCCCTCGTGGAGTCTGTGACCGCCACGAGGGGCTAAACGGGGGGGCTCTGGACGGGTGCGAGGGGCTGGTAACCCCTCCACCTTCAATTGATTACCACTTAAACTACGACTGAAATATGTAACTGATAAGCTTGTGCCGGAGGCCCAGGGGGGGACAGGCGTCTATGACGTCTCCTGGCCAAACCCCAATTGGCGGAGCCGAGAGATTGAATTTCTACCCTCTGGGCTCCTCCAGAAACAACGAAAAGCCACTTCGTGTGGCCACGTGGAATGTTCGAACGCTCACTGCGGAGGAGAGGCTGCCGCTGCTCTGTCGGGAGCTGGACCGGTACCGCCTGGATCTCTGTGGCATTCAGGAGGTCCGGTGGACCGGTTCTGGCTCCTGCCACCATGAGGGGTGGACAGTCCTCTACTCGGGCAGCAGACTGCCAAACAACAGGGTGTGGCTCTTCTTTTGAACAAAAGAATGAAGGGGGCGTGGGAGCGTGGCCGGTGAGGTGTGGGAAGCTGTAATCCCCAGGCTACTTTGGGCTCGCCTTCCCATCAACCGGAAGGCGAGGAATGGTGGTCGTGGTTACTTATGCCTCCACCAAAAACGAACATCTGTGGAGGTGATGCAGGCAAGGCTGATGAGTCAGATGCCTTCTATGACCTCCTGTCACAGATGCTGGCTAAAGTGGCACCTCGGGATAGAGTCATCATGTTGGGCGACTTCAATGCCCGAGTTGGTCATGATACTGGCACCTGGTCTGGAGTGATTGGAGGGCATGGGCCGGATCAGCTCAATAACAACGATAGGAGGCTGCTAAATTTTTGTGCAGCCCATGGTCTTGTAATTACCAACACGCTGTTCCGGCAATCGGCGCATCCACACAACATCATGGATGCATGCCGGGTCCAAGCAAGAACATCTGCTGGACTACATATTGACGGACCAGCGGATGCGAGCCCATGTGCTTGACACCAGGACCTACCGTGGAGCTGATCTGCCCTCGGACCATCGACTAGTCATCTGTAAGATGCGCCCCTGCCATTCTTCAACCTATAGTGGCCTGGTCTCAGTTATCTGATGAAAGTTGCAAGCAAGAATTTCATCATCGCTTGCGGCTGGGGTTGGCAGAATGAGGAGGCCTACCGCAGCCTTTGCTTGGAGGTTCGGAGAGCCATGAGGCGCTGCAAGGATGGGTTGGTGATCGTGGGTTGCTGAGGAGATGGAGTCTGCCTCAGTGGCCCGCGAATCACAAATCTCTATTTAACTCCATCAAAAAGTAACCTGCAGCGCCACACCTATTACCATCATTAGGGGAAAAAACGGTGATACAATCTCCGACCCCCAGGAACAGCGTTTGCGGATTTGCTGAGCATTTCTGTGAGGTCCAGGGGAAGGGGAATCCCTCAGCCAGGAAAACATCGTGGCACAAAGTGGGATGACCTTGCTGAGGCTGCAGTGCCTCAAATATTGGAAGAAGTCACCCCCCGTGAGTGGCTGGCCTGAGGTGCCAATCTGTTGAGGAAGTACTGAAGGCGATCCGGAGTCTGAGACCAGGAAAGGCACCGGGTAGAGACGATCTTCAAGCAAAATACTGAGGGAGGGTGGCGTTTGTGCACAGACTGCCCTATATGACATTCATAACATTAATCTGGACCACTGGACGGGTTCCGCAGGATTGAAGGATTCCCTGGTGGTCCCCCTCTTAAGAAGGGGGACCGCACAGGCTGTAACAACTACAGGGGCATCTCACTCCTCAGTGTGCCGGGAAAGGTCCTGGCAAGGATTATTCAACATCGCCTTGCCAGGCATGCTGAGCAGAGGCTTGCGGAGCCCCAATGCGGGTTCAGGATAGGGCGGTCCTGCACAGATGCCATATTTTCTGTCCATCTGCTACAGCAGAGGTGTAGGGAATTCCAACAAGACCTACATCTCTGCTTGTATTACCTGGTTAAGGCCTATGATACCATCAGTAGGCCTGGGCTCTGGGTTGTTCTTCGTGCTTTTGGAGTCCCTGACCCTCTGCTCACGACCATTAAGGACCTTCATGATGGTGAGCGGGCCCGGGTAAAACTACGTGGCCGGGAGTCAGAGCCATTTCCTGCACACCTTGGGGTGCGACAGGGATGTCCTCTGGCTCCCACATTATTTAACATCTATTATGACCACGTAGTTCGTGAAGCCTTCAATAGCTGTACCGGGGGAATCTCCATTTTGTACAGATATAATGGGTACAGATATAATTGGTACAGATATAATGGGATGGCTCCCTATTGCTCAACCACGTTATGTATGCCGATGATTTGGTATTAGCTGCTCATTCAGAGGAGGAGTTGGAGACGCTGCTGCTGAGACTGGAGCATGCCACTAAGAGATGGGGCCTACCATCAGCCCCACCAAAACTAAGCACCTGCCTGGGTATTTGTACCATCGGACACTCCATCCCCACAACTCCCAATCGGTGATGGGGCAGTTGTGGAGAGAGTGGAGAGTTTCCCATACCTGGGCAGTGTGCTTATGACCGGCTCCAGTTTAACAGCAGACGTCTCACTCCGAATCAGTCGAGCGGCAATATATTTTCCTCGGTTGCGTAATGCTGTGTGGAAGCTACCTGGTCTGTCGCTCCGCACTAAGCTTCAGGTCTTCTCGGCCATGGTCATTCCCTCCCTTATCTATGCTTGCGAAACGTGGACCCCCTTAATGGAGCATCTTCGCCGGTTGGAAACATTTAGGCTGGCCTGCCTACGATCCATCCTGGGTTTAGCCAGGCTGGATTGTGTGAGGCGCTCACAAATCCTTGAAAGATCTGGGCACGGTCCCATTGGTGAGCTCCTCCGGCAGGCAAGGCTGCGATGGCTGGGTCATGTAGCCCGCATGCCCAACCACCGCATGCCGAAACAGCTTTTGTTCGGCCGGATCGAGGGGGCTAAACAGTCGCGGCACGGGCTAGAGAAGAGATGTAGTGATGTGGTACAGAAGGACGTGGAGCTGCGTGGACTTGCCGATGACTGGTACCAGCGGTGTCAAGATCGGCCTCTGTGGAGGAGGCTCGTGAAGGATGCTATGGGCAGTTGGAGGCAGTCGCCCTCCAACAACAACGGAGGGCGGAGGAGCGACGCTCACAACAACGAGCGGAGCGCCGGGTGGCTAAAGCACAGCAGGTTGGCACAGTAGGGGGCACAGGTGGTGCACCAGCCAGTCATCTCAGTCAGTCGACCCGTGGAACTTGGGTCTGCCCCGTGACCTCTTGCCAGCCGGGCGTTCGACACTTCACGTGGCCTCAAGGTGCCAATGGCCTGGCACAAGCGTCGTGGTGACTTCACCGCCACTTAGTGGCGAATGGCGGTTGTTGTTTGTGTACGCGTGTGTGTGTACACTTGTGTGTGTGCGCACGTGTGTGTGTGTGTACGTGTGTGTGTGCGCATGTGTGTACGCGTGTGTACGTGAATGTGTGTATACGCGGTTGATTGAGTGAGTGATTGAGCAGCTGTTTGAGTGAGCGAGTGGCTGATTGAGTGAGCGTGAGTGAGCGAGTGGCTGACTGAGTGAGTGTGTGAGTGAGCAAGTGGCTGATTGAGTGAGCGTGTGAGTGATGCGAGTGGCTGACTGAGTGAGTGTGTGAGTGAGCCAATGGCTGATTGAGGTGAGCGTGTGAGTGAGCGAGTGACTGATTGAGTGAGCGAGTGGCTGATTGAGTTAGCGTGTGAGTGAGTGGCTGGCTGAGTGAGCGTGTGAGCGAGTGAGTGGCTGATTGAGTGAGCGTGTGAGTGAGCGAGTGGCTGATTGAGTGGGCGTGTGAGTGAGTGAGTGACTGGTTGAGTGAGCGTGTGAGTGAGTGAGTGGCTGGCTGAGGTGAGCGAGGTGAGTGACGCGAGTGGCTGACTGAGTGAGCGTGTGAGTGAGCGAGTGGCTGATTGAGTGAGCGTCGTGAGTCAGCGAGTGACTTGATTGAGTGAGCGCGTGAGGTGAGCGAGTGGCTGATTGGAGTGAGCGTGTGAGTGAGCCAATGGCTGGTTGAGTGAGCGTGTGAGTGAGTGAGTGGCTAATTGATGTGAGCGTGTGAGTGAGCGAGTGGCTAATTGAGTGAGTGTGTGAGTGAGCGAGTGGCTGATTGAGTGAGCATGTGAGTGAGTGGCTGATTGAGTGAGCGTGTGAGTAAGCGAGTGGCTGATTGAGTGAGCGTGTGAGTGAGTGACTGAGTGAGCGTGTGAGTGAGTGAGTGGCTGATTGAGTGAGCGTGTGAGTGAGTGGCTGATTGAGTGAGTGTGTGAGTGAGCAAGTGCTAATTGAGTGAGCGTGTGAGTGAATGGCTGACTGAGTGAGCGTGTGAGTGAGTGAGTGGGCTGATTGAGTGAGCGTGTGAGTGAGTGGCTGATTGAGTGAGTGTGTGAGTGAGCGAGTGGCTAATTGAGTGAGCGTGTGAGTGAGTGGCTAATTGAGTGAGCGTTGTGAGTGAGTGGCTGATTGAGTGAGTGTGTGAGTGAGCGAGTGGCTAATTGAGTGAGCGTGTGAGTGAGTGGCTAATTGAGTGAGCGTGTGAGTGAATGACTAATTGAGTGAGCGTGTGAGTGAGCCAATGGCTGACTCAGTGAACGTGTGAGTGAATGACTAATTGAGGAGTGAGCGTGTGAGTGAGCCAATAGCTGATTGACTGAGCGAGCAACTGACTGAGTGAGCGTGTGAGTGAGTGAGTGGCTGACTGAGTGTGTGAGTGAGTGGCTGACTGAGTGAGCGTGTGAGTGAGTGGCTGATGGAGTGAGCGTGTGAGTGAGTGGCTGATTGAGTGTGTGAGTGTGTGAATGACTGATTGACTGAGCGTGTGAGTGAGTGTGTGAGTGAGTGGCTGACTGAGTGTGTGAGTGTTGTGAATGACTGATTGACTGAGCGTGTGAGTGAGTGTGTGAGTGAGTGGCTGACTGAGTGTGTGAGTGTGTGAATGACTGATTGACTGAGCGTGTGAGTGAGTGTGTGAGTGAGTGGCTGACTGAGTGTGTGAGTGTGTGAATGACTGATTGAGTGAGCGTGTGAGTGAGTGAGTGACTGACGTGAGCGTGGTGAGTGAGTGAGTGGCTGACTGAGTGTGTGAGTGAGTGGCTGACTGAGTGAGCGTGTGAGTGAGTGGCTGACTGAGTGAGCGTGTGAGTGAGTGAGTGGCTGACTGAGTGAGTGTGTGATGTGAGTGGCTGACTGAGTGAGAGTGTGAGTGAGTGGCTGATTGAGTGTGTGAGTGTGTGAATGACTGATTGACTGAGTGTGTGATTGAGTGGCTGACTGAGTGAGCGTGTGAGTGAGTGGCTGATTGAGTGTGTGAGTGTGTGAATGACTAATTGAGTGAGCGTGTGAGTGAGCCAATGGCTGACTCAGTGAGCGTGTGAGTGAATCACTAATTGAGTGAGCGTGTGAGTGAGCCAATAGCTGATTGACTGAGCGAGCAACTGACTGAGTGAGCGTGTGAGTGAGTGAGTGGCTGACTGAGTGTGTGAGTGAGTGGCTGACTGAGTGAGAGTGTGAGTGAGTGGCTGATGGAGTGAGCGTGTGAGTGAGTGGCTGATTGAGTGTGTGAGTGTGTGAATGACTGATTGACTGAGCGTGTGAGTGAGTGTGTGAGTGAGTGGCTGACTGAGTGTGTGAGTGTGTGAATGACTGATTGACTGAGCGTGTGAGTGAGTGTGTGAGTGAGTGGCCTGACTGAGTGTGTGAGTGTGTGAATGACTGATTGACTGAGCGTGTGAGTGAGTGTGTGAGTGAGTGGCTGACTGAGTGTGTGAGTGTGTGAATGACTGATTGAGTGAGCGTGTGAGTGAGTGAGTGACTGAGTGAGCGTGTGAGTGAGTGAGTGGCTGACTGAGTGTGTGAGTGAGTGGCTGACTGAGTGAGCGTGTGAGTGAGTGGCTGACTGAGTGAGCGTGTGAGTGAGTGAGTGGCTGACTGAGTGAGTGTGTGAGTGAGTGGCTGACTGAGTGAGCGTGTGAGTGAGTGGCTGATTGAGTGTGTGAGTGTGTGAATGACTGATTGACTGAGTGTGTGAGTGAGTGGCTGACTGAGTGAGCGTGTGAGTGAGTGGCTGATTGAGTGTGTGAGTGTGTGAATGACTGATTGACTGAGTGTGTGAGTGAGTGGCTGACTGAGTGAGCGTGTGAGTGAGTGGCTGATTGAGTGTGTGAGTGTGTGAATGACTGATTGACTGAGCGTGTGAGTGAGTGGCTGACTGAGTGTGTGAGTGTGTGAATGACTGATTGACTGAGCGTGTGAGTGAGTGTATGAGTGAGTGGCTGACTGAGTGTGTGAGTGTGTGGCTGACTGAGTGTGTGAGTGAGTGGCTGACTGAGTGTGTGAGTGAGCGGTTCACCTTGAGCACGTGGACGTAGGGGAGGCCATCGGGGCCGTATCGGCTGCCGTTCACCTCCACGTGCTTGAGCCACTGGATGTGTGGCTGCGCGTCGCTGTAGACGCGGCAGTGGAACTCCACATCACTGCCCACTGCCACCGTCTGGTTGGCTGGCAGGCCGGCCTGCAGGATTGGCCGGTGGGGTGAGCGCTCTGGGGGGCGGGGGAGGGAGGCACGGTGAGGGAGGAGCCGTAGGCGGTGGTGGTGGTGGTGGTAGTGGTGGTAGTGGTGGTGGTAGTAGTGGTAGTAGTGGCAGTAGTAGTGGTGGTAGTATTAGTGGTAGTAGTTGTGGTAGTATTAGTGGTAGTAGTTGTAGAGGTAGTAGTGGTAGTAGTAGTGGTAGTAGTAGTGGTGGTAGTAGTAGTGGTAGTAGTTGTGGTAATAGTAGTGGTAGTAGTTGTAGTGGTAGTAGTGGTAGTAGTAGTGGTAGTAGTAGTGGTGGTAGTAGTAGTGGTAGCGGTAGTAGTAGTGGTAGTAGTAGTGGTAGTAGTGGTAGTAGTAGTAGTGGTAGTAGTAGTGGTAGTAGTAGTAGTGGTGGTGGTAGTAGTAGTGGTGGTGGTAGTAGTGGTGGTGGTAGTAGTAGTAGTGGTGGTAGTGGTGGTGGTAGTAGTAGTGGTGGTAGTAGTGGTTGTAGTGGTAGTGGTAGTAGTGGTAGTAGTGGTAGTAGTAGTAGTGGTGGTAGTAGTGGTTGTAGTAGTAGTGGTAGTAGTAGTAATAGTGGTAGTATTAGTAGTAGTGGTAGTAGTGGTAGTAGTGGTAGTAGTAGTGGTAGTAGTGATAGTAGTAGTGGTAGTAGTAGTAGTGGTAGTAGTGGTAGTAGTAGTGGTAGTAGTAGTGGTAGTAGTAGTGATAGTAGTAGTAGTAATAGTAGTAGTAGTGGTAGTAGTAGTGTTAGTAGTTGTGGTAGTAGTAGTAGTAGTGGTAGTAGTAGTGGTAGTAGTAGTAGTAATAGTAGTGGTAGTAGTGGTAGTGGTAGTAGTAGTAATAGTAGTGGTAGTAGTAGTAATAGTAGTGGTAGTAGTAGTAGTGGTAGTAATAGTAGTATCAGCTTCTTACCCACGACATCCAGCTGGTATGTGTGAGTGAGATTCCCGTAGGGATTCTCCACGAGGCACGTGTAGTTGTAGTAGTGGTAGTAGTAGTGGTAGTAGTAGTGGGTAGTAGTGGTAGTAGTAGTGGTAGTAGTAGTAGTGGTAGTAGTAGTAGTAGTGGTAGTAGTAGTGGTAGTAGTAGTAGTGGTAGTAATAGTAGTGGTAGTAGTAGTAGTGGTAGTAGTAGTGGTAGTAGTAGTAGTAGTGGTAGTAGTAGTGTAGTAGTAGTAGTGGTAGTAATAGTAGTAGTAGTGGTAGTAGTAGTAGTGGTAGTAGTAGTGGTAGTAGTAGTAGTGGTAGTAATAGTAGTGGTAGTAGTAGTGGTAGTAGTAGTGTTAGTAGTAGTAATAGTAGTAGTAGTGGTAGTAGTAGTAGTAGTGGTAGTAGTAGTAGTGGTATTAGTGGTAGTAGTAGTGGTAGTAGTAGTAGTAATAGTAGTGGTAGTAATAGTAGTGGTAGTAGTAGTAGTGGTAGTAGTAGTAGTGGTAGTAGTAGTGGTAGTAGTAGTAGTGGTAGTAGTAGTGGTAGTAGTAGTAGTGGTAGTAGTAGTGGTAGTAGTAGTAGTGGTAGTGGTAGTAATAGTAGTGGTAGTAGTAGTAGTGGTAGTAGTAGTGGTAGTAGTGGTAGTAGTAGTAGTGGTAGTAATAGTAGTAGTAGTGGTAGTAGTAGTAGTGGTAGTAGTAGTGGTAGTAGTAGTGGTAGTAGTAGTGGTAGTAGTAGTAGTGGTAGTAATAGTAGTGGTAGTAGTAGTGGTAGTAGTAGTAGTGTTAGTAGTAGTAGTGATAGTAGTAGTAGTGGTAGTAGTAGTAATAGTAGTAGTAGTAGTGATAGTAGTAGTAGTGGTATTAGTGGTAGTAGTAGTAGTAGTAATAGTAGTGGTAGTAATAGTAGTGGTAGTAGTGGTAGTAGTAGTAGTAATAGTATTGGTAGTAATGGTAGTAGTAGCAGTGGTAGTAGTAGTAGTAATAGTAGTGGTAGTAGTAGTGGTAGTAGTAGTAGTGGTAGTAGTAGTGGTAGTAGTAGTGGTAGTAGTAGTAGTGGTAGTAATAGTAGTGGTAGTAGTGGTAGTAGTAATAGTAGTAGTAGTGGTAGTAGTAGTGGTAGTAGTAGTAGTGGTAGTAATAGTAGTGGTAGTAGTAGTGGTAGTAGTAATAGTAGTAGTAGTGGTAGTAGTAGTAATAGTATCAGCGTCTTACCCACGACATCCAGCTGGTATGTGTGAGTGAGATTCCCGTAGGGATTCTCCACGAGGCACGTGTAGTTGTAGTAGTGGTAGTAGTAGTGGTAGTAGTAGTGGTAGTAGTAGTGGTAGTAGTAGTGGTAGTAGTAGTAGTGGTAGTAGTAGTAGTAGTGGTAGTAGTAGTGGTAGTAGTAGTAGTGGTAGTAATAGTAGTGGTAGTAGTAGTGGTAGTAGTGGTAGTAGTAGTAGTGGTAGTAGTAGTGGTAGTAGTAGTAGTGGTAGTAATAGTAGTAGTAGTGGTAGTAGTAGTAGTGGTAGTAGTAGTGGTAGTAGTAGTAGTGGTAGTAGTAGTGGTAGTAGTAGTAGTGGTAGTAATAGTAGTGGTAGTAGTAGTGGTAGTAGTAGTAGTAATAGTAGTAGTAGTGGTAGTAGTAGTAGTGGTAGTAGTAGTAGTGGTATTAGTGGTAGTAGTAGTGGTAGTAGTAGTAGTAATAGTAGTGGTAGTAATAGTAGTGGTAGTAGTAGTAGTGGTAGTAGTAGTGGTAGTAGTAGTGGTAGTAGTAGTAGTGGTAGTAGTAGTGGGTAGTAGGGTAGTAGTAGTAGTGGTAGTAATAGTAGTGGTAGTAGTAGTAGTGGTAGTAGTTAGTGTAGTAGTAGTAGTAGTGGTAGTAATAGTAGTAGTAGTGGTAGTAGTAGTAGTGGTAGTAGTAGTGGTAGGAGTAGTAGTGTGTAGTAATAGTAGTGGTAGTAGTAGTAGTAGTAGTGTTAGTAGTAGTGTAGTAGTAGTAGGTAGTAGTAGTAGTAGTGATAGTAGTAGTAGTGGTATTAGTGGTAGTAGTAGTAGTAGTAATAGTAGTGGTAGTAATAGTAGTGGTAGTAGTAGTAGTGGTAGTAGTAGTAGTAGTGGTAGTAGTAGTAGTGGTAGTATAGTGGTAGTAGTAGTGGTAGTAGTAGTAGTGGTAGTAGTGGTAGTAGTAGTAGTGGTAGTAGTAGTGTAGTAGTAGTAGTGGTAGTAGTAGTGGTAGTAGTAGTAGTGGTAATAGTAGTAGTGGTATTAGTGGTAGTAGTAGTAGTGGTAGTAGTAGTGGTAGTAGTAGTGGTAGTAGTTGTAGTAGTGGTAGTAGTGGTAGTAGTAGTAGTGGTAGTAGTGGTAGTAGTAGTAATAGTAGTAGTAGTGGTAGTTGTAGTAGTAATAGTATCAGCTTCTTACCCACGACATCCAGCTGGTATGTGTGAGTGAGATTCCCGTAGGGATTCTCCACGAGGCACGTGTAGTTGTAGTAGTGGTAGTAGTAGTATTATGGTAGTAGTAGTAGTATTATAGTAGGAGTAGTAGTAGTAGTAGTGGTAGTAGTAGTAATAGTATTATGGTAGTAGTAGTGGTAGTAGTAGTAATAGTAGTGGTAGTAGTAGTAATAGTAGTGGTAGTAGTGGTAGTAGTAGTAGTAGTAATAGTAGTGGTAGTAATAGTAGTAATAGTAGTGGTAGTAGTAGTGGTAGTAGTAGTGGTAGTAGTTGTAGTGGTAGTAATAGTGGTAGTAATAGTAGTGGTAGTAGTTGTAATAGTAGTGGTAGTAATAGTAGTGGTAGTAGTGGTAGTAGTAGTAGTGGTAGTAGTAGTAGTGGTAGTAATAGTAGTGGTAGTAGTAGTAGTGGTAGTAGTAGTAGTGGGTAGTAGTGGTAGTAATAGTAGTAATAGTAGTGGTAGTAGTAGTAGTAGTAATAGTAGTGGTAGTAGTAGTGGTAGTAGTAATAGTAGTATCAGCGTCTTACCCACGACATCCAGCTGGTATGTGTGAGTGAGATTCCCGTAGGGATTCTCCACGAGGCACGTGTAGTTGTAGTAGTGGTAGTAGTAGTAGTGGCAGTAGTAGTAGTAGTAGTGGTATTAGTAGTAGTGGTATTAGTGGTAGTAATAGTGGTAGTAATAGTAGTGGTAGTAGTAGTGGTAGTAGTAGTGGTAGTTTTAGTAGTGGTAGTAGTAGTGGTAGTAGTAGTGGTAGTTTTAGTAGTGGTAGTGGTAGTAGTAGTGGTAGTAGTAGTAGTGGTACTAGTAGTAGTGGTAGTTGTAGTAGTGGTAGTAGTAGTAGTGGTGGTAGTAGCAGTGGTAGTAGTAGTAGTAATAGTAGTGGTAGTAGTAGTAGTGGTAGTAGTAGTGGTATTAGTGGTAGTAGTAGTGGTAGTAGTAGTAGTAGTGGTAGTAGTAGTAGTGGTAGTAGTAGTGGTAGTAGTAGTAGTGGTAGTAGTAGTAGTGGTGGTAGTAGTAATAGTAGTGGTAGTAGTAGTAATAGTAGTAATAGTAGTGGTAATAGTAGTGGTAGTAGTAGTGGTAGTAGTAGTGATAGTAGTAGTAGTGGTAGTAGTAGTAATAGTAGTGGTAGTAGTAGTGGTAGTAGTAGTGATAGTAGTAGTAGTGGTAGTAGTGGTAGTAATAGTAGTGGTAGTAGTATCAGCGTCTTACCCACGACATCCAGCTGGTATGTGTGAGTGAGATTCCCGTAGGGATTCTCCACGAGGCACGTGTAGTTGTAGTAGTGGTAGTAGTAGTAGTAATAGTAGTGGTAGTAGTAGTAGTGGTAGTAGTAGTGGTAGTAGTAGTAGTGGTATTAGTGGTAGTAGTAGTAGTGGTAGTAGTAGTGGTAGTAGTAGTGGTAGTAGTAGTAGTAGTGGTAGTAGTGGTAGTAGTAGTAGTGGTAGTAGTGGTAGTAGTAGTAATAGTAGTAGTAGTGGTAGTTGTAGTAGTAATAGTATCAGCTTCTTACCCACGACATCCAGCTGGTATGTGTGAGTGAGATTCCCGTAGGGATTCTCCACGAGGCACGTGTAGTTGTAGTAGTGGTAGTAGTAGTAGTAATAGTAGTGGTAGTAGTAGTGGTATTAGTAGTAGTGGTAGTAGTAGTAGTGGTAGTAGTAGTAGTGGTAGTAGTAGTGGTAGTAGTAGTAATAGTAGTGGTAGTAGTAGTAATAGTAGTGGTAGTAGTGGTAGTAGTAGTAGTAGTAATAGTAGTGGTAGTAATAGTAGTAATAGTAGTGGTAGTAGTAGTGGTAGTAGTAGTGGTAGTAGTTGTAGTGGTAGTAATAGTGGTAGTAATAGTAGTGGTAGTAGTTGTAATAGTAGTGGTAGTAATAGTAGTGGTAGTAGTGGTAGTAGTAGTATGTGGTAGTAGTAGTAGTGTAGTAATAGTAGTGGTAGTAGTAGTAGTGGTAGTAGTAGTAGTGGTAGTAGTGGTAGTAATAGTAGTAATAGTAGTGGTAGTAGTAGTAGTAGTAATAGTAGTGGTAGTAGTAGTGGTAGTAGTAATAGTAGTATCAGCGTCTTACCCACGACACTCCAGCTGGTATGTGTGAGTGAGATTCCCGTAGGGATTCTCCACGAGGCACGTGTAGTTGTAGTAGTGGTAGTAGTAGTAGTGGCAGTAGTAGTAGTAGTAGTGGTATTAGTAGTAGTGGTATTAGTGGTAGTAATAGTGGTAGTAATAGTAGTGGTAGTAGTAGTGGTAGTAGTTAGTGGTAGTTTTAGTAGTGGTAGTAGTAGTGGTAGTAGTAGTGGTAGTTTTAGTAGTGGTAGTGGTAGTAGTAGTGGTAGTAGTAGTAGTGGTAGTAGTAGTAGTGGTAGTAGTAGTAGTGGTAGTAGTAGTAGTGGTAGTAGTAGCAGCAGTATGGTAGTAGTGGCAGTAGTAGTATTATAGTAGTAGTAGGGGAAGTAGTAATAGTATTATGGTAGTAGTAGTGGTAGTAGTAGTAGTAGTGGTAGTAGTAGTAGTGGTAGTAGTAGTGGTAGTAGTAGTAGTGGTAGTAGTAGTAGTGGTGGTAGTAGTAGTAGTGGTAGTAGTAGTAATAGTATTATGGTAATAGTAGTGGTAGTAGTATTATAGTAGTAGTAGTGATAGTAGTAGTAGTACTATGGTAGGAGTAGTAGTAGTATTATGGTAGTAGTAGGGGAAGTAGTAGTGATAGTAGTAGTAGTGGTAGTAGTGGTAGTAATAGTAGTGGTAGTAGTATCAGCGTCTTACCCACGACATCCAGCTGGTATGTGTGAGTGAGATTCCCGTAGGATTCTCCACGAGGCACGTGTAGTTGTAGTAGTCGGTAGTAGTAGCTGATAGTAGTGGTAGTAGTAGTAGTGGTAGTAGTAGTGGTAGTAGTAGTAGTGGTAGTAGTAGTAGTAGTAGTAGTGGTAGTAGTAGTAGTGGTAGTAGTAGTGGTAGTAGTAGTATTGGTAGTAGTAGTGGTAGTAGTAGTGGTAGTAATAGTAGTGGTAGTAGTAGTGGTAGTAGTAGTGGTAGTTTTAGTAGTGGTAGTAGTAGTGGTAGTAGTAGTGGTAGTTTAGTAGTGGTAGTGGTAGTAGTAGTGGTAGTAGTGGTAGTAGTAGTAGTGGTAGTTGTAGTAGTGGTAGTAGTAGTAGTGGTGGTAGTAGCAGTGGTAGTAGTAGTAGTAGTAGTGGTGGTAGTAGCAGTGGTAGTAGTAGTAGTAATAGTAGTGGTAGTAGTAGTAGTGGTAGTAGTAGTGGTATTAGTGGTAGTAGTAGTGGTAGTAGTAGTGGTAGTAGTAGTAGTAGTGGTAGTAGTAGTAGTGGTAGTAGTAGTAGTGGTAGTAGTAGTAGTAATAGTAGTGGTAGTAGTAGTAATAGTAGTGGTAGTAGTAGTAGTGGTGGTAGTAGTGGTAGTAGTAGTGATAGTAGTAGTAGTGGTAGTAGTAGTAATAGTAGTGGTAGTAGTAGTGGTAGTAGTAGTGATAGTAGTAGTAGTGGTAGTAGTGGTAGTAATAGTAGTGGTAGTAGTATCAGCGTCTTACCCACGACATCCAGCTGGTATGTGTGAGTGAGATTCCCGTAGGAATTCTCCACCAGGCAGGTGTATTGTAGTAGTGTGTAGTAGTAGTAGTAATAGTAGTGGTAGTAGTAGTGGTAGTAGTTGTAGTGTAGTAGTAGTAGTGGTAGTAGTAGTAGTGGTAGAAGTAGTAATAGTAGTAATAGTAGTGGTAGTAGTAGTAATAGTAGTGGTAGTAGTATGGTAGTAGTAGTAGTAATAGTAGTGGTAGTGGTAGTAGTAGTGGTAGTAGTAGTGGTAGTAGTAGTAGTAATAGTAGTGGTAGTAGTGGTTGTAGTAGTAGTAGTGGTAGTAGTAGTGGTAGTAGTAGTAATAGTAGTAATAGTAGTGGTAGTAGTAGTAGTGGTAGTAGTAGTAGTAATAGTAGTGGTAATAGTAGTAGTGGTAGTAGTAGTGGTAGTAGTAGTGGTAGTAGTAGTGGCAGTAGTAGTAGTATCAGCTTCTTACCCACGACATCCAGCTGGTATGTGTGGGTGAGATTCCCGTAGGGATTCTCCACGAGGCACGTGTAGTTGTAGTAGTAATAGTAGTAGTAGTGGTAATAGTAGTGGTAGTAGTAGTGGTAGTAGTAGTGGTAGTAGTAGTAGTAATAGTAGTAGTGGTAGTAGTAGTAGTGGTAGTAGTAGTGGTAGTAATAGTAGTGGTAGTAGTAGTAGTAATAGTAGTGGTAGTAGTAGTGGTAGTAATAGTAGTGGTAGTAGTGGTAGTAATAGTAGTAATAGTAGTGGTAGTTGTAGTAATAGTAGTGGTAGTAGTAGTGGTAGTAGTAATAGTAGTATTAGCGTCTTACCCACGACATCCAGCTGGTATGTGTGAGTGAGATTCCCGTAGGGATTCTCCACGAGGCACGTGTAGTTGTAGTAGTGGTAGTAGTAGTAGTGGCAGTAGTAGTGGTAGTAGTGGTAGTAGTAGTGGTAGTAGTAGTGGTAGTAGTAGTGGTAGTAGTAGTGGCAGTAGTAGTAGTATCAGCGTCTTACCCACGACATCCAGCTGGTATGTGTGAGTGAGATACCCGTAGGGATTCTCCACGAGGCACGTGTAGTTGTAGTAGTGGTAGTAGTAGTAGTGGCAGTAGTAGTGGTAGTAGTAGTAGTGGTAGTAGTATTAGTAGTGGTATCAGCGTCTTACCCACGACATCCAGCTGGTATGTGTGAGTGAGATTCCCGTAGGGATTCTCCACGAGGCACGTGTAGTTGTAGTAGTGGTAGTAGTAGTAGTGGTAGTAGTAGTAATAGTAGTGGTAGTAGTAGTAGTGGTAGTAGTAATAGTGGTAGTAGTTGTAGTATCAGCGTCTTACCCACGACATCCAGCAGGTATGTGTGGGTGAGATTCCCGTAGGGATTCTCCACGAGGCACGTGTAGTTGTAGTAGTGGTAGTAGTAGTAGTGGTAGTAGTAATAGTAGTATCAGCGTCTTACCCACGACATCTAGCTGGTATGTGTGAGTGAGATTCCCGTAGGGATTCTCCACGAGGCACGTGTAGTTGTAGTAGTGGTAGTAGTGGTAGTAGTAGTGGTAGTAGTAATAGTAGTGGTAGTAGTAGTGGTAGTATCAGCGTCTTACCCACGACATCCAGCTGGTATGTGTGAGTGAGATTCCCGTAGGGATTCTCCACGAGGCTGGTGTAGTAGTAGTGGTAGTAGTGGTAGTAGTAGTGGTAGTAGTAGTGGTAGTAGTAATAGTAGTATTAGCGTCTTACCCACGACATCCAGCTGGTATGTGTGGGTGAGATTCCCGTAGGGATTCTCCACGAGGCACGTGTAGTTGCCACGATCAGATGGCACCACACTCTCCATGATGAGGCTCCAGTGCTGGTGACGAACCTAGACACATAAAGTCAAAGGATCGATTGCTTTTGTGGACAGGTGTCCTTTATACAGGTAACGAGCTGAGATTAGGAGCACTCCCTTTAAGAGTTGTGCTCCAGTTCTCAGCTCGTTACCTGTATAAAGGACACCTGGGAGCCAGAAATCTTTCTGATTGAGAGGGGGTCAAATTCTTATTTCCCTCATTAAAATGGCAATCAATTCATAACATTTTTGACGTGCGTTTTTCTAGATTTTGTTGTTGTTATTCTGTCTCTCACCGTTCAAATAAGCCTACCATTAAAATGACAGAATGATCATTGCTTTGTCAGTGGGCAAACGTACAAAATCAGCAGGGGATCAAATGCTTTTATTTCCCTCACTGTAGGTGGGGGCAAGTGGCTGGATAGACAAAGCTAAAGATCCCCCTTGTAGCCTGTACCAGACTGTAGGGGCAAGTGCCCCTACAGCAGCACCATCTGAGGCCGAGTCGACCTAGGGGAGGCCCAGGACCGGTTCAGATAATCGTCACTTGGGGGGTGTAGGCCGTGAGCGGGAATCGAACCCGGGTCGCCGGGTCGTAGTGCAGCGTAGCGCTAACCGCTACACACACACTCAGATACACACACTCAGACACACACACTCAGACACTCACACTCAGACACACACACTCAGACACTCAGACACTCAGGCACACAGACACACACTCAGACACTCACACTCAGAAACACCACACTCAGACACTCAGACACACACACTCAGACACCACACTCAGACACACAGACAGACACTCAGGCACCACAGACACACACTCAGGCACACACACTCAGACACACACACTCAGACACACACACTCAGACACTCAGACAGACACTCAGACAGACACTCAGGCACACAGACACCTACACACACAACAACAACAACCGCCATTCGCCACTAAGTGGCGTGACGTCACCACGACGCTTGTGCCAGGCTATGTGCACCCTGAGGCTACCACGTGAAGTGTCGAACGCCCGCTGGCAGGAGGTCACGGGGCAGACCCAGCAGGTGCCACGGGTCGACTGACTGAGACGACTGAGACGACCGGCTGGTGCACTGCCTGTGCCCCCCTACTGTGCCAGGCTAGGTGCACCACGAGGTCACGGGCAGGACCCAGCAGGTGCCACGGGTCGACCGACTGAGACTACCGGCTGATGCACCGCCTGTGCCCCCCTACTGTGCCAGGCTAGGTGCACCACCAGGTCACGGGGCAGACCCAGCAGGTGCCACGGGTCGACCGACTGATACGACTGACTGATGCACCACCTGTGCCCCCCTACCGTGCCAGGCTAGGTGCACCAGCTCACGGGGCAGACCCAGCAGGTGCCACGGGTCGACCGACTGAGACGACTGAGACGACCGGCTGATGCACCACCTGTGCCTCCCTACTGTGCCAGGCTAGGTGCACCACGAGGTCACGGGGCAGACCCAGCAGGTGCCACGGGTCGACCGACTGAGACGACCGGCTGGTGCACCACCTGTGCCCCCCTACTGTGCCAGGCTAGGTGCACCACGAGGTCACGGGGCAGACCCAGCAGGTGCCACGGGTCGACCGACTGAGACGACCGGCTGATGCACCATCTGTGCCCCCCTACTGTGCCAGGCTAGGTGCACCACGAGGTCATGGGGCAGACCCAGCAGGTGCCACGGGTTGACCGACTGAGACGACTGAGACGACCGGCTGATGCACCACCTGTGCCCCCCTACTGTGCCAGGCTAGGTGCACCACCAGGTCACGTGGCAGACCCAGCAGGTGCCACGGGTCGACCGACTGAGACGACTGAGACGACCGGCTGATGCACCACCTGTGCCCCCCTACTGCGCCAACCCGCTGTGCCTCATCCACCCGGCACCACGAGTGGCTGCTGGGTTTATTGCCATTTTTGAAATCGGAATTGGCCATTCCCTGCATGGAATTGGTCACGTCCAGAGGGGGCGCCCCCCCTTCGGCCCGCCGCGGTGGCATTCAGCACCGTGGACGAGCGGAGGATTCGCCACCGGTTGAGGAATCGGTCGTTCCCCCCCTCACGGCATCGATTCCCTCCGCCGGCGGCCGCTGGGTCCGTTCAGACGATTTTGTGTCGCCGGGAATTGGCCATTCACCGCGCGGAAATCGGCCACACCCCAGAGGGCCTCATTGGCCGCCGCGGTGGTGCGGGCGCCGTGAATGGCCGGCGGTGGGTTTATCGGACGACTTTGGAGTTGGAATTAACTGGAACACGAACGCCTCCTCCCTCCTCCCACCACCAACACCAACACACCACACCTCTCCCCGCACCACCACACCTCTCCCCGCACCACCACACCTCTCCCCCCACCACCACACCTCTTCCCCGCACTACCACACCTCTCCCCGCACCACCACACCTCTCCCCGCACCACCACACCTCTCCCTGCACCACCACACCTCTCCCTGCACCACCACACCTCTCCCCCCACCACCACACCTCTCCCCGCACCACCACACCTCTCACCTCTCCCCCCACCACCACACCTCTCCCCCCACCACCACACCTCTCCCCGCACCACCACACCTCTCCCCACCCACCACACCTCTCCCCCCACCACCACACTTCTCCCCCCACCACCACACCTCTCCCTGCACCACCACACCTCTCCCCGCACCACCACACCTCCCACCTCCCCCCACCACACCTCTCCCCGTACCACCACCACACCTCTCCCCCCACCACCACATCTCCCCGCACCACCACACCTCTCCCCCACCACCACACCTCTCCCCCCACCACGACACCTCTCCCCCCACCACCACACCTCTCCCCCCACCACCACACCTCCCACCCCCCCCACCACCACACCTCTCCCCGTACCACCACCACACCTCTCCCCCCACCACCACACCTCTCCCCGCACCACACACCTCTCCCCGCACCACCACACCTCTCCCCCCACCACGACACCTCTCCCCCCACCACCACACCTCTCCCCGCACCACCACACCTCTCCCCCCACCACCACACCTCCTCCCCCCACCACCACACCTCTCCCCGCACCACCACACCTCTCCCCCCACCACCACACCTCTCCCCCCCACCACCACACTTCTCCCCCACCACCACACCTCTCCCTGCACCACCACACCTCTCCCCGCACCACCACACTCCCACCTCCCCCCACCACCACACCTCTCCCCGTACCACCACCACACCTCTCCCCCCACCACCACACCTCTCCCCGCACCACCACACCTCTCCCCGCACCACCACACCTCTCCCCACCACGACACTCTCCCCCCACCACCACACCTCTCCCCCCACCACCACACCTCCCACCTCCCCCCACCACCACACCTCTCCCCGTACCACCACCACACCTCTCCCCCCACCACCATACCTCTCCCCGCACCACACCTCTCCCCGCACCACCACACCTCTCCCCCCACCACGACACCTCTCCCCCCACCACACCTCTCCCCGCACCACCACCTCTCCCCCACCACCACACCTCCTCCCCACCACACCTCTCCCCCCACCACCACACCTCTCCCCCCACTACCACACCTCTCCCCACCACCACACCTCTCCCCCCCACCACCACACCTCTCCCCGCACCACCACACCTCTCCCCACCACCACACCTCTCCCCACACACACTCTCCCCGCACCACCACACCTCTCCCCCCACCACCACACCTCTCCCCCACACCACCCTCTCCCCGCACCACCACACCTCTCCCCCCACCACCACACCTCTCCCCGCACCACCACACCTCTCCCCCCACCACCACCTCTCCCCCCACCACCACACCTCTCCCCGCACCACCACACCTCTCCCCCCACCACCACCTCTCCCCCCACCACCACACCTCTCCCCGCACCACCACACCTCTCCCCCCCACCACCACACCTCTCCCCCCACCACCACACCTCTCCCCGCACCACCACACCTCTCCCCGCACCACCACACTTCTCCCCCCACCACCACACCTCTCCCCACCACCACACCTCTCCCCCCACCACCACCTCTCCCCCCCACCACCACACCTCTCCCCCACCACCACACCTCTCCCCACCACCACCACTCCCCCCCCACCACCACACCTCTCCCCCCACCACCACACCTCCCCCACCACCACACCTCTCCCCCACCACCACACCTCTCCCCCACACCACACCTCTCCCCCCACCACACACCTCTCCCCCCACCACACCTCTCCCCGCACCACCACACCTCTCCCCCACCACCACACCTCTCCCCCACCACCACACCTCTCCCCCACCACCACACCTCTCCCCCCACCACCACACCTCTCCCCCCACCACCACACCTCTCCCCACCACCACACCTCTCCCCACACCACACCCCCCTCCCCCCACCACCACACCTCTCCCCCCACCTCTCCCCCCCACCTCACCACCCCCACCACCCCCTCTCCCCCCACCACACCTCCCCCCCACCACCACACCTCCCCCGCACCACCACACCTCTTCCCCGCACTACCACACCTCTCCCCGCACCACCACACCTCTCCCCCACCACCACTCCTCTCCCCCCACCACCACCCTCTCCCCCCACCACCACACCTCTCCCCGCACCACCACACCTCTCCCCGACCACCACACCTCTCCCCGCACCACCACACCTCTCCCCCCACCACCACACCTCTCCCCCCACCACCACACCTCTCCCCCCACCACCACACCTCTCCCCCCACCACCACACTCTCCCCCCACCACCACACCTCTCCCCCCCCACCACACCTCCCCCTCCCACCTTGATCCCACCGATGCGGTGTTCCCCACGGAAGTCTCTCCCGTTCTTGAGCCAGCGGATGGAGGGCGGTGGACTGCCTCCGGCCGGGCAGCGGAACTTCACCGTGTTGGCGGCGGGCACAGCGTGGAGTCGTTCTCCATCTTCTCCGTGTGGGTCCAGTACGGGGGGCCTGGGGGGTGGGGGGCAGGGGGGGCAGGGGTGGGCAGGGGGGGCAGAGGGGGGGAGGAGGGGGGATGATGGTGGTAGTGGTGGTAGTAGTGGTGGTGCAGCGTAGCGCTAACGACTGCCCCGCCGCTCCCCACACACACACACAGAGACACACACAGACACACACAGACACACACAGACACACACACACACACAGACACACACACACACACAGAC